AACTGAAATATGGATTTTTTAATGCTGTTGTACAAAATTCACCCTAGAATAGAGGCTTGCTGTTTCTAGAGATGCCGCAGCAAAGACAGAGCTAGATCACTCTTAAATACGAACAGTTTACTCAGAAACAAACCCCAAATGTTCCCACTCTTGTGCACAAGCTTACTTCCCTGCTGCTGGCTTTGTTCCATAACTTCTGCAGCTCAGGGCACAGTGACTTGCTTGAATGCAGAAGTGGCAAAAGGCCTTTTGCTGTGTGAAGCCTGCGAGCTGCTGCTGAGCTCCCTCCTTCCCACTCACGTCAGAACCTCTGCCTAGTGGCAGCTGGAACCTGTTGAAGTATGGAAAGCGAGCAGAGCGGGGCTGAAGGAGGTCAGGAACTGATGGTCCGTGCAGCTGCTAACGTCTGGAGCATTTCACTCTGCTGAGCTGCCCAGGCCACTTAGAGCTGTTTGAAACCGTTTTCATTCTGTTCTGGCAAGGACAGCAACACTTGGAGCTTTTTGAAAACCCTTTATTCCAACTACATTTGAATGTTTTCTTGACTCGAGAAAGCCCTGGAGTATGTCAGCCCTTACTGCAGCCCTGTCCTGTGCCTCCCTTCCCTCTGCACAGCTCCCTGCACGAGTGCCCAACTCTGATCCAGCCCAGCTGTGTAACCTTACTCAGAGTGCTGGAAAAAAAGCTGTGAGAAAGTCTGGAGAGATAAGAAAAATAAAATTATAAAGATAGCGCTAAGTGGGACAGGACTGCTGGGAGCTCGAGGGTTTAGGAGGGAAAGCAGCAATGTCAAAAGTATAAAATCTATAGGAAGAAAGAGCAAGGCAAGCCAGGAAGCATCAGGTTAGCCAGTTTCTTGGGGCAAGGCACCCATGCCAGGGCCCTGATGGAGCTTGGCAGAAGATAGAAATGTGGCAATGTCGAGGGTTTGCCCTGGGAGCTGCAGGGGCTGACCTTTCCCCTCTTGCCCAATGTCTGCCTGGCCAGCAAAGCCACTGCTGATACCTTGCTGGGTGAGCAGAGCCATGTACAGCCCAATGGCTTGTGAAATTCTTCCTTTTCTGTGGGCTGGTCAATAAATAACTGCTTCACATTCCTAGTTATGTATATTCTGCTTACAGATTATCTTCAAGATGGGCTAAAGATACCAGAACAAATTGATGCAAAAACAAGCTGGTAACAAATGCCTGTAAATACATTTTTGGGCTTTTTAACAGTCATTGGAAGGCAAAAGAAAAAAAATTAAAAAAAAATTAACAGTGTTTTCTCCTCCATATGAAAGTATTTCCCAGTGGGAAAAGGCTGAAACACACAAAGGAAAGGTAATTTTCCATTTGTACTTGGAAAAAGCTAAAACTATTTACGAAGACAAAATTTACTAGTAAATTTTCTCTTGGGCTTGTTTAATCATTGCTTTATTCCATTACCCTTAAGTGTTTCACAGACATTGCTTAAAACCATCATCCCTGTGTGTGAATTTCAGGTGGTTAAAATACTTGGGAAAACTTCTACTGCAGATGACTTCTTCAAAATCAGCAGAGTCCATGTGCAGAAACTATTTTACAAATATCATTCCCCTTGCTAATATTTGCATGCAGGGCTTTGAAACAATGACCCTACTTAGAAAGCTGCCTGAGCAGGCTGACCCGAACACCTGTGGTGTGCATGCGTGATGTCTTTAGGGTGCCACATACCTTCATTCCTTCAGTTCTCCAAAAATCCCTTTGTATTGCAGTGAAGCTGTCAAAAGAGGTCAGTTTATTCAGCTGAAGGGAGACCAACATAACACAACAGAATTCAGAACACCACCGATGTAGATACTGCATGAGGGGATAGATAGTGTTGAAAAAGGCAAGATAACTTAAACAGTTAAGGTTTGCCTGTGGAGAAGGTGGCCTTTCTTCTTGGACATGGAAAAACACCCCAGTAGTATTTTCCTGTGATACAATTTCTTCTTTACTACAGAAGTGGGCTGCACAGATTTCTCAGATGGTAGATGTGGTTAGAGCTGTCCTGAAAAGGAAAGACTGACTCATTCCACATGCAGGCTTTTACACCCACCCTCTGATCACTGCACAGTAAATCTTTGCTGTTCTGACATCAGCTTGGCTTTTCTTAGTCACTGAATAAGAAGTTGCCAAACAGAATAGGTTTTGTATATCCTAACCCCTATTCTGGAGAGTATTAATGGACTGAGTCAGAAAGCCAAAAGCCTCAGATTTGTTTGGGTTAATCAATGCCAGAATTTGTTGGCAGGGGAAGGATACAGATGATCTTTCACAGTTGAAAAAGTACGTCAGTGTGGCAAGCGTCTGGAAGGTAACGCGTGTTAAATGCCACCAAACAACACACTGGCTTTCACAAGCAGGCACTGCTGGACAGGACAGATTATCTTATTCCAACACATGTGCAAGTTCACAAAAAATTTTGGAGTGGTTGACTACAGCAAAAGGAACAAGTGCAGTGAAGTGTGCACAGGAAGAGTAGGAGTAAAAAGCCATACAAATATTCTGGCACATAAAATGCATTTCTAATATGATGTTTCTGTGGAAGATTAGGTGGCATAGTTTTAGTCCATCATGACTTTGTCTGATACAGTGGAGGTACCATGGCATAAATTAAAGCTAGAAGGGGAGAGAAAAACAGCTCTTACTAACTTTTTTCCCCTGAAAAGCAAACAGTACCAGGAAAGTGCTTTAGACTATTTTGACTTACTCTATTCCAGCCCAATATATGCAGTCATTAGCAAGACTCAGTTGCTCAACAGTACTTGGTTATACTGCTTGTTAATGCATGGCTTGCACTTGTTTTGCACCTGCCCAGAGTAGCTGATTTAGGAAATGGAGAAAGATAAAAAATTATGTTCAGTGCCTAAAGAAAGGCTGTTTTGTAATCATTAACAACCAAAAACCAATAGGGTTGGTGCAAGATCTTGCACAAAACATTTATATTGGTGCACAATCATCCCACATGAATCTGATACTTACCCATATTTGTTAACAGGTAAAAAAAATTATTAACAGCAGGTTTCCAAGTAGGGCTCCAAACAAGTTGTATGCAAGAGGATGGAGTCAATGTTGAACAAACAAGTTGGTAATGACTTTTATTATATACAATAAAAGTATATTACATAAAGACATTGTATTACCCCTATTGCCTGACAGGAATGATACACACGGCCTTATTAGGTCAGGCAAAAGATATTAACCTGAAAAAAGCATTCAGTCTTATCAAATATATGAGAAAGCTAAGTTTATCACAGGAATAATTAGAAAAGCAAATAGAGAGAGAGAGCAAAAAACATTTCCAGCCTTTTTTTGAGTCTATTTACATACAGCTTTTGCGAAATGCATTCATACCAAATTTAAAAAGAATGCTTATTAATCTGAGATTAATTCAGTATGGTGATGAACATGAATGATATAAGAAAACCCTTTTAAACTTTTCTGTATTCATCTTTTCTTGTGTTGTATTTGGGACAGGCAACATACTTGGCTAATACTTACATGACCCCCCCAAATGGCTAAATAGTATTTTTTTCAGTTACAGGAGTTGAATGTTTAGTAGCACATTGTGATGGTTTTTTCTCTCCATTAATCACAGAATATGCTGAGTTTGAAGGGACCCACATGGATCATCAAGTCCAGCTCCCTGGCCTGCACAGCACCATTCCCAACAGTGACACCATGTGCCTGAGAGCATTGTCCAAATGCTTCCTGAACTCTGTCAGGCTTGGTGCTGTGGCCACTTCCTAGGGAGCCTGTTCCAGTGCCCAGCCACGCTCTGGTGAAGATCCTTTCTCTAATATCCAACCTAAACCTCCCCTGACACAATTTCAGGCCATTCCCCTGGGTCAATTAGTGCTATAATTGTTGAGGACGTCTTCCTTGCATAAGTAACTGTAAATCAAGTTTCCCATTCCCCAGGTGAGTTGCTTTGCCAGCTCCACTGGAAACACATTTATTCTCAATATCTTGCATGAGTACTGCATGACTGAAAGCTCAGGCTTTGAGCAGCATGTCCCCCCTCTGTCATCCCCAGCAGGCTGCCTGGCCTGCCATGGTGCTGGCAGAGCCCTTGGGATCCCTCAAGCCAGGCAAGCAATGGGAAGAACTGTCTCCAAGGCTGGAGAAGACTCTGCAGAGCAGCACAGCCTGGGGTTAGCGAGCCTCCCCTTTGTCCATCGAGCTCCCACAGCAAGGAGCAGGAGCCCTCTGCATCACTGGGGGCACCCTGAGGTGCCCAAGGCTGGGCCAGAGCCCCTCTCTTGCCACACACATCAATCCAAAGCCATGACAAGACCATGCAGCTGGTAAAGCACTTGGCTGAGCAGACACAATAGTTTGACTCTTCCTCTCTTGCCTTCCCAAGCCTTACTTTGGTCAGAGCAGTCCTCTACCTGATACACACCACCACTGAACCTGCCAAAAGGATAATAAAATCAGAGATTACCTTTAAAGAAATGCAGGGCTTAAAGATGGCAGCTGGATGACCAACACTGGAGATCTCTTTGAATCCTACTGAAGTGTCACCTTGGCTCTCCAGAACTGGTATTGCAGCCGATGCCAGCACATGAGGGAAGACAAAAGCATCCGAAGGCATGATCCTGTGCCATGAGCTACCAAAGTGACTCTCCACCTCCAACCTTACCTCAGGAAAATGGCATCTACAGCCACGGCACGCAAGCCTGGTTACACACAACTCTCTGTGTGGACTGACACACAGCAGAATGGAGTTCTTGCATCCAAGTCAGACATCTCATAATATATTTTTCACCTATCTTTTCCTGTTTTTTTTGAAAGAATTAGTGACTTTGTAGCATGGTGTGAAAGAGTTAAAATTTGGTTTTGACGAAAGACAGAGGAGAAAAAATCCCAGGCTATCAAGCAGAAAGCAATTCCTAACGTTTCAAAATAAAATAAACACAGAAGTTTTACCATAACCTATTTGGGGTTTTCCCCAATAAAGGAAGGTCTGAAGGAAAAAGACAATGCATTTTTGTTTTTTTGGATCTTTTTTATTCAAAAGTTTTCAAAGAAATAAAACAGAAAAAGCTAACAATCTAATCAAATTTACAGTTCAAAAATGTCTTTTGGCGTTTAACAACAAGTCCTAGGAAACAAAACTACAGAGTTATCTTGAACCGGACAAATAAGTTACCACTGGCAAGTTTGTGGCACTAGTAAAACAAAAATAAAAAATTAACTCTCTTGATCATATAGATATCTCTATGAAAATCTTTTTTTTTTTTCAATCTGTACAAAAGGTCTTTCTTCATAAATTAATTTTTTATAATTTAATGGCTGTCTACTATGTGATGTTTAAGTAACTGATTATTTCTTTATGTACAGAGGTTAAATTTCCCAAATCTTACCCAGACAATGAGTATGGCACTTAGTTCAGACATTTCTGGCAGCAACTCTTCCCTCCCTCTAACACAGCTATCATACTGCAGTTTTCAATTAATGCAAAAATAGCAAGTAGTGAGAGATCCAGGTTTGGAAAGTTACCAAATACAGGCAAGGTGCTGCAGGAAGTCTGGACTTTTACAAAGCAGTAATATTCCAGGGAGCATAGAACCAATAATACCACAACTTTTTAAAAAAAGAAAAAACAAAAACACATCTCTTATGACTATGCAATTCACTAGAATCTACACTTCTCAGAGCAGCAATTTACTTTTGAAACTATGAAATGTCACCGACATCTATACTCCAATACTCACACAAAATTTAAAAACTAAAAAATACTTGAAAGAAACAACTGCTTAGCCCTAGCTCCCGAGCTAGGATGATTTGGTCTGTGGAAACAGGGAGGGCCAGCAACCTGTCCCAATACAAAAGGAAATAAACTTTGAGGTAGATAACTGATCATATACAGCTGACCAGAGAAGTACACAGTTTTGGAAGACAACTTAATTTATCATTCAATTTAAAACATATGCAATTGTAATAAAAAGCTTTAGTAGCAGTGAATTATCTAATATGTGAAGTACAAATAACTGTGTATTTATGAATCAGGAATTTCATAGTTTCAAAATTGGTTTTCTTTACACTTAACACTTGTAGTGATGATGTAAAGTGTGGCACTGCTTGGATCCAAGTCTTCCTTCATGCTTTTGTGTCCATACATCAATTAAAATTATAAAACCTAAATGCAAATGTACAAAAAAGGCACATTCTCTTAACCGCAAACTGGTCCGGCAAAAATAAAGAGTACAGAAGACGCAATGCTGAGACAAATCAGAATTATTGGTTACTGGCTCTTTGTTCTTTGGTAAAGTTACCTTTTAAAAGTGCCAAGTCTTTTTATTTTTATTTACCTACTATAGAGAGCTAGTACCCAATCAATTATGTTTCTACTTAAATCTCAGCATATGTTTGAAAACGAGTCCTTTAGCTTTTGCCATTTTGCTGTAATAGCAACTTTTCTGTTTGCTACCTCTCAGCACAATCCTCATCCTAAAGCACTATCATTAGTATAAAGGAAGGACAAAAACATTCGGTGATATCTCCACCCCAAACTCCCTACTCTACCTATGCTAAAACTAGAACATCAAGTTAGTTTCTGAAAAAAGGCAAAAAAAGATTTTACATTGCATCATACAGCAGAGTTCCTAAATCATTCAAACTACCAGAGGGAACTATTGGCATATGGCCTTACAAACAATTTATACTATTAAAATTTCCCCAGTCAGAAAATGTGTTTCACACAAAACATTTTTTCCCCTCTTGCATTTCACTACCTTACATATTATGTGAAAAAATCATTAAAAACACTTACTACACATTAAAAAAGCCAAATTTTCAGCAATTTTTATTGACTACCTTTAAAAGCCCTATGCTGCTGTTTTACAAGGCATAATAGACCAGCTCATTTGGTCAAAGCATTCTACACCATTAGTTTGGACTACTTACTGAAACAGCTACAGCATTGAAAGATTTAAGGCAAATTGGAATTTATAGAAAAGGATAAGACACTTCACACTACATTAAAAGAAAAACAGAAAGCTAAGAGACCAGACACTATAACTGCAACACTGCACTAAAGCAACACTCACACACTGCAAGCACAGAACATCATCTTAGATGTTTTACTTTTTTTAAACTTCAGAAAATCCATTTCATACAAAAAAGAAAAAAAAAAAAGATAAAAAGAAACAAACAAAATAAAAATAAACCAAAACACAAATTCTGTCATGCACGTGAATAAGTCTTCGTGGTCATCTGTGCATACCCAGAAATTTGAAGGTTTTTTTTTTTGCGTCATAACACTTGATAAAAACTTTTTTTTTTACTAAAATAAACCTGTTCATGGGAACAGCTACTAGATGAATTTAAGGTTTTTCTTATGCACCTTATAGAACTTATAGCAAAAATAGTTTTAGTTGATTTCATTATAAATAACATTTTCAAGAACCTGTGCAAAACTGTCAATAATTCCTAAAGCACAATTGATCAGTAAAATCCATGATTGTTTCAGCCTTTGCACCCTTCTCCAGGCCAGGTCAACACTGGACATCTGTAACACAGAAAGGTCAGAGCTAGAGCAGAGTTACAATCACACACTTTTTTCTAATGTAGCTGTCCACAAAACTAATTCCCTATTTTAGACAGCTGTGAGAAGACTAAATGAATCTGAGAATAAACCTGGGGAGTACCACAGGCAGCACTGCAGGTGTTGGCCCTTCCCAGGACAAGGCTCTCCACCAGGACAGAGCCTGTGCTGCATCTCCCCCTCTCTCCCTAAGGACTGCTCAGCACACAGAGCTCCCATGGGGGAGCTGTGAGGCTGCACTCAAAGCTCTTCCCTTCTTTGTTGTTTTGTTCTTGTTGTTGTTCCTTTTAATTGACCAAAAGTGGTTGAATGTGCTACTCCATCTCCGAGGCTCTGGAAAAGGAACAATAACTTTCTTTTGGTGCAGCCTCAACGAGGCTATGTATGACAGCTAAGACAGACAGAGCTACTGTGCCTCCCTGAACAGCAAGCCAGGGCTTATCAAATTTGAAGGCAGACTTCTTAATGTACTGGCTTATATTGCCACATGGGCTTAAAAAAGTACCCAGCTAATGACAAAAAAGTTTAGACAATTTTAAAATTTATCAAAGCAAGGCAAAGTTTGGTATTTTAAGGCTTGTACATTTGTAGGTGCATATAAAACAGGTTTTTTTGTTGTTTTTTTTTTTTTTTTTTTCCCAAGTCCCTTTGACTATTTTTCACAGAGGAGCAACTTTTTGAAAAGAAGCTATACAGTTATTAAATGTAGCTGCCAGAGGAAAAACACTGTATTTCTGATTGACTGCATCCACTCATGCAAATGTGCTAGTTGTAATTTACCCCTCAAATTACGGGAATATGTGTACTGACTTTAAATAAGACATTCCCAAAAGTGCTGCATGTGCATTTAGAAAGAAGTTTTGGCTTGACAACAGGGACAAAGCCACAACAATAAAGAGACTGCAGTGTTCCCTGTATTTAGGGCACAAAATAACTGTCAATTCCCTCCCCTTCACCTGTCTGAAACAAGAAAAGTACCAGCATGTTCCAGGGACAGAAATACCAAATGCCATGCTCTAAGGCTGAAATCAGCTGGGTAATATTAACCTTCCCCACGTGCCCACTGCTACAGCCTCTGCCGACACAGATTTCATTTGCTCCCGCTGCATATAAATACAGGTAACAGTGCCTCTCCGAAGAATAAAATAAGTGGAGAACTGGCTTACAGCAAACACACAGAATTGCTCACAGAGCTTGGAATTCTACACAGAGTCATCAATACAAAACGTGTCTCAGATGGCAACAACAACTCATCCTTTCAGGAGACTTAAGGCTGTTCCTCCTGCCTGGCCTCAGTCTGTGGGGAGAGATACTGACAGGCTGGGAGAGAGAGGCAGGATGGGGATGTGACATGCAGGATTACACTTCGCTTCACTGGCTACCACAGATCTCTGTTGGTAAGGAGGTTTTACATGCCCACGGGGAAGACTTAAGGCAAAACAAATAATTCCTTGAAAAGCGGTTAACACCAGGCAACAGCCTTGGCATGGGGAACGTGCAGGAGTCATGATTTTAACACGACGAGATGGATAACGAGAAGAGCCTGTGGCTTTGCTTTCTGCCTGCCCTGGAAGCAAATCAAGGATGTGGGCTTCCTCTAGATGCCAGCATTTGGCCCGACTACAGGAATAACACAGGTCATATGCTGTGCTATGCAGGCTCTGCTGTCTGTTGAATTTGCCAAGTTTCCCATTGGTTTGTTTCTATCTTTCCATATAAGAAGCTGTTATGCCAATAATGGGGATGAGAGCACTGTTGTCAAACAGCACAGCTGACCTGCAGGATCAAAGCTAATGCCAAAATGTGTGTTTTGTTGGATCAATACATTTTAGAGAGATATCACACAATGGTAGCACATAACTGATTTTGATTTTTCAGTATCAAATAAATGCCACAAGGGCTGTAGAAAACCCTTCTAACATGGCCTCCAGCACATTATTGCAGATGAATGGAATTTTTCAGTGTGAGGTCTTAGAAAATGTGACATAAAAAATTACGTAGCCAAGTTGTCTGGCTTACAAAGCATTCAAAACAAAAAACAAAAAACAAACAACAAAACAACTAAATTCCAGAACTTTAAAACATGGATCATGACAAAGAGAACAGATAGTGTAAGTAGCATTTTTAGGATGGAAATGTACAGAAAGCAAAATAATTTTGTATTAAGTAAGTTCAGGTAAAGCTAATGATTTGCTAGTAAAAAAGGCCATGCAAGCAGAACCAGAGGAAACCTGAAGGAGGAAAGTAAAACTCTGGAATTAGAGCCAAATGAGGACACGGATTAAAAACAAATTGACAAAACTCTGGACCAAACTCCTTTTTTTTCTAGAAAAAAGGATGAGCAGGGAAGTCTTCAGGTCAGCAAGGATTTCTACCAGACTGCCTCACTGCCTGTGGTCTGTAAGTCAGCCACCAAGCTGCTTCTAATCTTACATGTACCACAAAGCTAGGCATGATATGTCTATCAGTACAATTCCCTTTAGCCTTTTGATTCTTGTATTTTTGCGTTAATTCATTGCTGTTCTGTATACAGCATGCTGCTAAAATGAACAAATTAAAATCCAACATAATCCAGTCATGGTATAGAGAAATTATTAAAACAATATTACTCAATTCATGAGTTCATTTCTGGATTCCATGTTTCCTTCCCTGGCTTTTGACACTGGCTAAGTTCAAATCAGCTTCACTGTCCCCAGATAGTATCATCAGTATTACTTATATGACATTAAAAAAGTTCAATACAGAGTACTGTAAATTATAAAATAAAGCATCTTTGAATTCACATCTTTCATGAGACAGGATGAGCCCCTACCTCACAGTTATTTATTTTGCTGATACGTATATGGAGAATGGTCACTGGATGTCTCTACTGTAACCTGTTGCTGACCACTGGCTTCCTGCAAATAAAAAGGAAGGCAAGCCATGAGAGACAGAATCAAACAGCATTACCTGCAATGTGTATTTCCACCTGACTCATGCAATTAACAATCTTCAAATCTAAAATCTTCATCACATTTCTCAAGTGAGGTGTTCCAAATCTGAGGTGTTAAGTTTACCTTGATTAATATTTCAGCAAACAGAGAAATTAAATGATCTTGTAATTCCTCAGATGCTTTGATGATAAAGCAAAAAAAAAAAAAAAAAAAAACCTCAAACTTTTGACTTTATAGATATAAATAGAGCAAATAACTAGATATTTTCTATCTGTAGATGTAAAAGAGCATTCTGTCCCTCTTCTTTTGAAGGGGAGGGAGAAGAATGAGATCTACTGACCACACAAACACTATGTGTACTGTGATGAGGTTGGCACTAGGCAACACAAAGAATTGTAAATGGGACTTTGCACCACTCTCCCCAGAAACCAGGCAATTAATTCAGCTGAGAGTGCTCTGGCAGACAGAGCAATCAGGTAATTATCAAAAGAACTTCTCTGATCCACATGGGCAGATGCACCAAAACGAATCAAACAAATTCTGGAGTTTCTGGATAAACAGACTTTGAAATGAAATGTTTTTTTTTCTTACAGGCTCTGAAAGAGACTGTCTGGCACTCATTCTGAATGCATGAGCTGCAGCATGCCTTGTCTAGCTCCTCTGTTAAAGTAGTACTGACCTATGAAAGGCTGTAAGGCAAGTCAAAGTAGTAGATAAATTATTTAGCTTACTTATGTTATGCTCTCCAAAAAAGTAATAAATTCCTGTTCGATTGAGAGATTAATTAGACAAACATGCACAGTACCCTGAGATGCCAGGGTCAAATTAAGATTCTTTGCAAAAAGCTACAATCAAGGTCTACTGGCAGGTAATTTTGCACGCAAGTAAACTAAGTGAAAGATCAAAACTACAATGCATTCCCTGCCTTGCTACTACTGGTTTGCCTGAGCTATGCTCAGAGAGCAGATTGCTCTGAGTATGTGGTGCCGTAAGTACAGGTAATTCTTTCTTGTAATACTAATTATATTAGTTGAGAATAATGACATTTTATAGTTTTAATACATGTGGCATTCACAGTACATTCACAGTTACAATACTTGCCTTTGAGCTCTAATTTTCATAGGAAAACAAATTGTATTAATATTTCTTATCTCTGGTCTTTTATAAAATATACTGACCTCAACAGGAACCGCTGCTGTCTGGACATGTGTGTACTGGGGGATGTAGGCTCCTTGCATAGCTGTTGTGGCTGGCATGTACTAGAAAGACAGAGACCATTACATTGAGTGAAAGCCCAACATAAAAGTATTCAAAATACCTGTCATGGTATTGCTTAGTAGATATTGACTGTTTCCCTAAAGCAATATACATAAAATAAATACTTTTGTGTCTGAAATCAATAGGCTTTCCAGAAAAGTCATTTATCTATTTTGAGAAAATTTAAATTTCTACTTCAAAGATTATGTAAAGGACTTTTCCTTCTCTGTTAACCCCAGTCATCATATTTTCTTTTTTTAACTCCACTTGGTCTGAAAAGAAGAGTCTTGCAGTTTAGAAGTCTGAATCTCTTCTTATTTAACTTCTGTTCCACACTTCAAGAGATTAGAGTTGCAGAAAGGAATATAAAGAGTAAAACTATTTTTAATCTTTTGGAGGCAACTCTAAAGTTACCTCCTGAATGGCTTTCACTTGTTTTGGTCTATTTTTATTTACTCATTTCCAATTTTTGATCAGTTAGTAGACTGAATAAAAGGTGTTGAATATAATTTTAAAATGGAAACAGTTCCTAGTAATTTCCTGGACATAAGATGACTTACAGGATTACTTTTTCCCACATGCAAGCTGCACAGGGACACTGTGATCTACATGCAGTATTTTCTACTTGGGTAAGTTCTATTTTGTATCAAATTGCTACATACTGTTCCAGTACTGCCTAATGAAAGATGACTCATCTGCTGTGTCAGAGGGCTTATCATTGATGCAGGCTGTAGTGACATGGTGTGGTCCATGGAGGGAGTCAGAACAGCACCCTGTTAAAACAGAGAAACAAAGAAATGGTTGTAGCACTCAGATTTAATTTTTGATTTGAGAGTCAAAGTATGGACTGTTCTTCTTAGGGGATGCACCACAAGAACTCTCCTTAATCCCAGGCACTGACTCGAAAAGCAAGTCTGGGGCATTCTGAATATTTTACTTGAGCATCTGTAGATGCTCAAGGTGAAAGACCTGCTTTGACTTCCCACTGGACATTCAACTGATGCGCAATACACTTGAGAGACCTGCTGAAAATGCTTTGTACAATATGAGTTTTACCAGATGCTGACTTGAAAGCAAAAATTTGCACGTTACCTGGTACAGATTCACTTAGCTTAAGCTTTGGAATTTCATGCTTCGGGAAGAAACTTTTATCTCATCTTTAGGAATGGCGGCTTTGGAGGAGGAACATTTGTGTTGCTACCCATCACACACCATGTTCACACATGAGACAGCTGCCCTACTTAGTGGCTGCTTGCATTAGCACACACATTTCACAAGAGTGACTTAGCAACACTGATTCTTTGTCTAAATACCAGCTGCTCTTGATGACACTTCTATTGCTTCTGTACCATTTTTTAGGTTCATAAAAATTATACTCTAAACTTCTAAACACTTTAGATTGCTAAATATGGAGAGCACACAGGTTTTCAGAGTTAACTGAAATGGAAGATTATCAAGAAATTTCATTTTACCAATCATGTTCCACAAAAACACATTTACAAATACTTTGTATGTATGACTTATGCTTGCAGAAGGTGTTGATTAAAATTAATGGAGGCTCAAAACAAATAGAAATAATTGCAGTGTACTGAAAGCATGTATTTTGAATCAATAACTAATCCTTAAAATGAAAAGAAAAAAGAAAAAAAAAGCATAGAATATACTTGGAAAAACAACCATGTGATCAGTGTAGATGAAATGAGTCACAGGCACATCAAACACTGAAAGAATTTCCTGTCTGTAGACTGCAGGCTTCTCTGAAAAGCAAATGAGCAAGACAGCACCTGTCTTTGCACAGGCCAAAACCAAACTTCAGTCTAGAATTTAGGTCTTTATTTTCAACTGTGAAATTTCATCTTGTGTACCTGTGAAACTAACACACCATTATAACATATCTTGCCTTTCACAGCATTATTTGCAGGATGTTGTTTTATGAAAATAGAGAAGGAAGTTAAAACCTACTCTGTGTATGTGTATTTAACATCAAAAGCACAAATACAACAATTAAGTGTGTGAGAAGGTGTTCTGGTTCACACCACCTTCTCTGAATGCCCAAGAAGAAAATGTTCTGCCAAGATGATTTACATTCTATAATCTGCATGGAGAGGTTAATTAAAGTCAAGACAATATCCTTTCTGCATCTGGAAACAGACTTGTTTGTTAACTATGGCTGTGCATGTATTAAAGTGCCTATTATTATTAGTAAAGCTCATCTCAAGAAACCCAATAAGTCTCAGATGTAATGGTACTTAATTGGCAAATGACACGGACAAGAAGCAAAATATCACTGGAGAGTAGAGATTAGAATGCCTGACAGTCTGGTACAGATGCCACAGCCAAAAGTGTAGGGAGACCAGCATTACTCATGAGTGGTGAAGCCAGAACAAGCTATGCAGGTTTTCTCAAGTGAGTGCCCATAATGTCATTCATATCACTACATCCATCTGTCTTTCACAAATTATCTGGTCTAAACTATTGCAGACCTCTTCTAAAACAACAGGTCTCCAATTTCAGCTCCTGAAAGGTAGACACTATGTAAAGCATTTAGCATTTGCAAAGTGCATTCCATTTAAAGTAAAACAAAATAAAACAAAACCACCACTAAATTTCCTTTTGGAAGTTTTCTCTAATGGTCCTCATCACATCAATACTCTGATGGTAGCTTTCTTTTTTGTCCAAATAAAATGAAGCCCCAGTTCAGGTTACTGTCTTTGTTTCGATTTTCATTTTGATCCATGGAAGTAGTTGGGCAGGAACTGACATACTTCCTGTGGTTTAAAGTATGTAAAGTGTTTATATAATAGATAAACACAACAATGGAGAAGCATAAATACTTACTGGGTGCTGCATTATATATGGTTGAGGCTGCATCCAAGAAGGACTCTGAACCTAAAATGAAATTGGCATTTTATTTTTCATTTTACACATTACTCCAACTTAGATACAGTAATAACTTAAATCATATTAACATGCCTCCTCCCTCATTTATTGACTTTTTAACCCAATTAGTCCCTCTGTGGAACAACATTGATTTCTATGAAAAATGCATTCATTGTAACCTGTAAATCAGAGACAAGATTTGGAGACCATATACCACATGCACCTTTCAGAACAGAAGACAATGTTTTTAATGCAGGTTTCAGAAAATATCCAGTACAGTGAAAGGGGTCAAATGGATGAATGGCAGATTTCTGCTACACTGAAAAAGGAAGCTCCCTCCATCTCAGAAATTCCTCTGTGGAAAAATAATTGGGATCTCAGAAAGTATAGCACCATTTGCCTTCCAGTGTGATCTGATTAAAATAAATTATTGTATTTTCAAAACTGGAAAAAAAATCAGGAATTGTGTGGTAATCTTGTTCCAGGAAAAAGGACAAGATTTAGGTGCAGTGTTTTCTGAGACACTGTGGTGTGTTATTCCCAAAGCACAGGAAGAGGAGGAGGTTCTGATGAGAGTCCATGCTCTTGCAATAAGCACATTTTCTCTCCAAAATCAGTGACTGCCCAAATACTTCAATTGCAGTAGAATGCCTAACTTTGCATGACAAAGTGAAATATAAATAAGGAAAGTAACAGGTTATATTGCTATCCTGGTTAAAAAGAGCTGGTTGCAACAGCTCTTTGAAAAAGTGTGCTGCAAGAAATACTCAAGGTAAGGACAAGAATGTTTCCTCCCCACCCGCTGTAGGTGTGTCAGGAGGGGCAGGAATCTGACCTGCACCACACAGAGCAGTCTCACCACTGCTGCTGGACATTTAAAGCTTTTTAAATGCCTCTACCATCATTCCCAGAGTCCTGTGCAGGACAGATAAACACACAGCCTTGGAAAAAATCCAGGTGGGATATTTTCTAGAAGATAGAAATATTTTTTACCTCTTTTTGGTACTTAGTTTCAAACCAGAGTAGTCTTTTTTTTCTTTTTCAGTAGAAATATTTTTTACCTCTTTTTGGTACTTAGTTTCAAACCAGAGTAGTCTTTTTTTTCTTTTTCAGTCAGGAAAACAGCAAACAGCAGTTCAAAAATGGAATGGAGAATACTGGAACACTCCCTTTCCTCAGGCAAAATCTTAATGGCAAAAATACCAGTACAGCCTGACTAAAACTTTGGCTAATCTCACTCTATGATAGTAACTGGCTCAGTGCAGCCATTTGGGTATACAGAGGTTGTAGAAAAAAACACTAGTAAAAACTTTATTAAATTTGTTTACCTGAATAATAAATCTAGGAGCAGGTTATACCATGCTTCAAAGGAAAAACAAAACAAAACAAAAACAAAAAAACTTTGCTTGTGTGATACATCCTGTTGTGTAAAAGACAGAAAGCTGCAGGTTTCAGTGAGAAGGGATCAGTAATGAAGATGTGACTAATGCTCAAATTGTGAAACTCTTCTGGCCAAGCACCTTCTTCCTCCCCAATACAGAATACTTAAATTTAATTTTCAATTCCAATTACTGTGTCACTTCAAGCATAATGATATTAATAACTCCATCCACAATAATTTAAGCTCCATGCCATGTATATTGAAATACTGGTAACTACATTTCTGGAAACATAATGGATTGTGGTCTGCCTATCTCAATAAGCCTAAAAAATAATACTATATTGCTAAGTAGTATGTTTCCATGCCAACTTCCAATTTTTACTTGGATTCTGAATATTAGAGAGCCATATATTGATAAATAATTTATATTTTAATAAAGAATAGCAGTTAATTTTACTGAAATATTTTCCTGGGTAAGAACTTACTGTAATTTCTGAGGTACTGCAGTACCAAGCAGAATGAGTCAGTATACTGAAAAATACAGTCTAGCACTGTCTGCCGAGAGCAAACATTGTGTTGCATAAGTTACCTCAGAAATTAATATAAAAATAAGCCAGCTGCCCTTCACATCAGAGAACACTGTTTTAACTCCTACACAATACTTTGCTCATGCAAGACGGCGTTAGATCTCCAGACTAATATTAGACAATTCTTCCTCACCCTCCTCACTTGGAATTGAAGGCTACATGGAAATTTCTGCAAGAGACAGTTGATGAATGGCTCACATGCCTCTATCACCTTTCTACCTCCCCTTTACACACCCCTCCATACTCATTCACACACAGAGCTCATCAGAAAGCTCAGCATGTCTCTCTCACTACAAAGCAAACAGCCTCTTCTTCCCCTGACACACAGAGGTAAGAATTTTCTAAATTTAATTAGTTTGGGTTATTTATGACCTGAATCACTGCTGTTTACTCCATCTATGTGTTAAACAGTAAAATGCCCAAAAATCTCATCATTTAGCATACACTGCCATAATTGGCATGTCTCAAGTACAGAGTACACATCTGAGACTGCCATAGTTGTATTTAAAGTAAGTTGATTGTAAACTGAAATGTGTGATGCCCTAAAATTGAGGATTCCTAAGAGATCTACATTAAAGTGCTAAACCTGTTCCATATAATTTCCCCATGTGTTGAATTGTATAGCAATATCCCTTGTGAGGGCTCAAGATGGCACCTATCAAAATCCCTCTTCAGAAAACTATGGACCAAAAATGCCCATAATTTATGTTTTAATTTATTATTCAACATAAAGTAGGCTTTGGTTTAGAAATACCATCTTAGGCTATTAAATGTTTTACTCCTAATAAAAAAACACTGAACTTGAATACTAAAGTAATTTGAAGTCTGAGCTCTTTTTTTCAAATTTCCTTCTCTAATGTCAAGAATGTTTCTGTACCCTTCTTAGTCCAACTACATAAGATATTATTGGGCTTTATGACAAAAACACAGAGAAAAGCTCAAAATGCAAGGAAAAACATCTTTAAAAATGAATTTAATTAAACCAATAGAGTTTTAAATAGAGAATAATTACTTCATATACACTGGTGACATTAAAAGAATTTGACTGAGAGAAAACAAAAAAAGCTCCATGAAATGCAGAAGCGACTACAAATCCCTCAGCCATCAGCACAAGTTGGAGACTTGGTTTTGCAAGACACCAGGGTCTCATTAAATCACTGTGCTTCCTGAAACACACACTCAGGTTTTCAGGCTGTCACTTTGATGCTGTACAGCACAAGGAGGCCACTTCATTAAAATGTAGCATTAGTGGAGACCTCATAAAACCAGATGTAACAATTGATAAATAAACATAAGCTCCAATGAACCATTTCAGCTACCAAGCTCTAAATACAAACCTGGTATGTAGAAACTGGAGAAGCAATATATGGTGTAATAGATGTCTGAGTGATCATTCTGTTTGCTGTAATACTGTAGGGTGACGGATAAAATCTAGAAAATGCAGAAATATTTATTAAATGCTAGTTCTGTGCATCTTTCATAGTGCAAACTTTTTTTTTTCTTAGTGCGCCATTACTCAACATACCCATTTTGTAAAGCAGCTGTGGTTGGATCATATGTGAGTGTCATTCCAGCCTTTAAAAAAAAAAAGTAGAAAAGAAAGAGTTGACAAAATTAATTTAAATTGTAATTATTTCTCTTATTCTTTCTTTACTTGTCTCATTTTTAACTGAAAATTTGTATTGAAATAATTTGCTACCAAAACTTAGGGAAAGGTTAATTGACAGAAGTAATTATACAGTGAAGAGAATCAGCAATATTGTTTGTGAATACAAGTTTCCATGTTCATGTTATGAGGAACAAAATGCAATCAATTAAACACCTGGCTAAAAGTACATGTGTGTTGAGATTCAGGGTATGCACATGATTATGTTAGGGTGTTACCTACAATATATGACCTGTAAGATTGAAATGGGAGTGCAGTTTTTCAGAAGACACATTTGAATTTTCCTATGTAATATAAATGAGGTGTCTAGGCTTGCTAGCCACAGTAAGTCTATGAAATTATTATCTTGAACATTAAAGATTAAAACAACTGTTGAATAAAAATAATAATGCTGCATGGCACTGGTATACCATTTTAATGTTGTAAAACTGATGTGCATTTTAGTGTTGCATAGATCAAAAGATTATTTACTGCATGTAAGCACAGTTATGTTTCTGGTAGTTTAATAATATGAGAAAGCTGAAGTTTATATTATGACCAAGTTGAAAGAGATTTTATTGTTCGCTTTAATGAGATAGGACTCAGCATTTCACATTTGGCCTCTTCTCAGAAGAAAGACACAGTTAAGTTTTGGGTTTTTTTATAGAGACACAAGCTGTCAGGTAAAAGTTGCTTGCACATTTTTAATATGCCAAAGACCCAAGCCAAGAAGTCTCAATGCCTATCATTTTTCTCAGTATTCATTATTGCACACCCACACTAAAGCTTGAAGGGAGGACTTACAAGTCTCACCTCGCCTTCTCTGTGCCATGCTCTTCCATTCTGTATGTATTTATTCTGATTCTGCCTCTTCTTCTGTCCTCCATCAGCAAACTTGCACAACAAAGGTTCTGCAGGAACTGAGAAGAAAGAAGAAAAATTAGTTGAAGTAGCATTGATACACAGGTGTTCAACTCTCCAAATGAGGTATGGTTTTAAGTTATATTCCAAATATGACAAATAACACAGAGCTCTACTACAGCATCAACAACCGTTCGGCATCGCACAAAGACAGCTGCCACACACAAACGGAGCATCTGGAATGCCTTATCTATTTGATTTTAAACTACTGCTGTAAAACCTGGTGAAAGGAAACATGGTCTGTATATCCTGAGTGTGTGTCTCTTGGTCTGGGTTCAACAAGAATCTGAATTCTGAGCTTTGTCTCTTTGGAAGTATATCTAAGGAGGATGGAGAAAAAATCTGCCCAACGGACTGTAACACATTCTCCCCACCCCTTGCAGGTTTCAGGAATGTCCCAAAACTTACAAGTGTTTTACTCATCCAGAAGAGGCCCCTTTATGTCCTGAGGCCTTGCACCAAGAAAATGCCACAATTGTCCATTCCCATTTTATCTCTGCTCTGTAAAGAACACCCAATGCAAACAGAAATTCTTCAAGATTGTACTTTGGGGTTTTTTGTATACTGCATTTTGATGAAACAGCATCACCATACTTTATTATTTTTCTTGTTATTGTTATTATTATTTTTCCTAATACAATCCTGCCAATTACCTCAATTTTTAATGTCAGAATTGAAGCAATGAAAAGGTTTGCACAACATTCTTTCTTTCCCTGTTCTTAGCTTCACATTTCCAAGTACCTATGGCTGAAGCACAGCTCTGCTGCATCACACCACACCCTCCATAATCACAGGGTGGAAGCACTGTTATGACTTGGATAGTCAACGCTTCTCTGCCAGTAATTCCTGACACATGAGCTGTCTAAGCTTTACCATGACACTCCTCCAGTCACTCTCTGTTTGGAAACATCTTCATGAGACATGGCTGGACCTGAAAACATACAAGTTTCCAAATGCAGAGTAAACACATGGGGTGGGAAGGCCACCTGCAAAAAAACAACCCCAAGAAAAATTTTCAACAAAATCTATTAATACAACCATGGCGACTGCTGATGTCTCTTCACCCTGTCTGCATTTGCAAAAGATGATTGGTACTGAAAACCTCAGGGATGCGTAACCTCGCAAAGAGCTTGACTTTTAGAACTTTAGCACAAAACAAGCTTTAATGGCCCAGTCATCCCTGGCTTTGCATGTCACACCTAAAACACTAGCTCTGTTTCTACTGGAAAAATATCCACTTCCTGCATGACACATCTTTTGACAGCTTTTTCTATAAAAAAGGGAGACAGTATGTGGTTCCCTGTCTCATCTCCTGCACTGACCACACACATCAGAGACCTGGACCTCTCCTACCTGGGTGATGTTATGGAGTGTCAGACTGTAATAATAAACATGACAACTGAATAAATTTTAAATGTATTATCCTTCAGAGAATGGCAATTAAAACCCTATAATCATAAAATAAACCAGGAAAATGTTAGGTTAATGACACTGGAAAAATATAGGAGACCTATGGATGATTGATTAAATGAACAAGGAAATAACAGAAACCCTAAAGTAGGAGACAAACTGGAAAATATTGTCTTCAAAACGTGGTATTTCTGAGGGGATTTCTGACATTACCAAAACTGAGTTTTGCTTTGGTGTGTTCTATTATGTGAAGCAACTTCTGTATATTTGGAGCAAAAGGGTACTATATCAATATGGTAATGGATGATTTCATGTTGATTTAAAAAAGCTATATCCAATAACCTTGGTCAAAGCACACATCAACTTAGTCCACATACAGTTCTGCTGAAATAAGAGGAGGCAATCTCAGAATATGTTAGCCAATATGGACAAATTTATCATATTCCGGCCTGAAATAATTTTGATTGTTTTTAAACAGTGTGGAAAACAAAAACCCATGGGACACTGAGAGAGGAAGCCAAATACTTAAATTAACTGCCTTATATGAAAAAAGCTCTTCCCCAAGTTGAATATCTTTATCTACTTCTACATTATTTCAAAAAATCTATTTTTGTGAAGAGCATATGTGTCTTCCAAAATATACACTATAAAATATTGGATGAAAAATCAAAATTTCATTTCAAAATTCAATTTATCAGACATGAGAACAGTACAGAAAGACATGAGAAAAATGTTTCTGGCCCTGTCATTCTGTATTATAGCAGTAACAGGTAGTAAATGCTTTATTTAAAGCTGCATTATGGTTTCATTAAAAAACTGTACAATTAATTATAAAAAACTTTTCAGAAAGCATCATTTGTGCTTGCATTTCCCATCATTGTCTCAACATAAAGATCTTTTCATTAAAAAAAAGAAAAATCAGAGTAAATCTGTTCATCTGTTTGAATAAAATGTTCCTAAAAACCTATTTTAAGAATAAATATAAATTTTTTGTCAGTAGATAACTCGAAACAGCTACATTTAGATGATTAAACATCTTCTGTGTTGCATTGTAAAAATTCTCTGACAATTTTAAAGAGGAATAAAAAATGGAGTAAGAATCATACACATGTAGTGGATTTTGCATACATAATATCCTAAACCTGCATCAGTGAAGAAACCCACCCATTTAAAGAGCTATTTGTGTTCTACCAGAAGTTAGTGCTCCATCTGACTGATCACAGATCCAGCCATGGGAACCCTTGTTTCTCTGACCTCCCACCTTTCCTTACTCTTCCCTGCACCCATCAAATGCTGGGAATGCTCCAACTCACACTAAAAGAACTCCATGCAGACCATCCACTTAATACCAGCACTTCTGTGCTGTACACAAAGGCAGTACAGCATTTGCCTTCCTTGATTCTGCATCAAGATCTGAGTGCTGACAGTGGGGATAGCTCCAGTGGAAAGCCCAACTGCAATTTTTGGCTGCTCTTCCATGCACGTGACCTGAATAATAATAAATAAATGAATAATAAATTGTGCTGTTCATTCCTGCAACAGCACAATCACTGATGGGCACTGCAGGGAGGCTCATGAGAAGCAGATAAACCTTCTTGGGTTTATCTTGACCTACTGATCTCCTTCCCACCAAAGAATGAACACAGACCTTACTCTCTTCAAAATTAAATCTGAACCTTATTTCTTTAGCTTACTTTTTCTCATAGTTTTCATGAATATGCAACGCATTCTCTCTCTTGTGTATAAGCTCATGCATGTGACAGATACATATTTGAACAAAAAGCTCTCACAAGTCCTACAGACCAGTTAAGCAATCTTTTGTAGCACAGGAAGGAAGGGAGAGTCGTTTTTATTGTTTAATTGCTGGGAACTATGCAGGCCCAGTGATGAAGCAGATCATTAATCATTCAGTGACTTGCCTGTATGTGCAAGACCGAGGCGCAGTACAAATATTCAGAGTTGCATTCACAGAGGAGAGGTACCTGATGTAAAAGGCTACAGCTTTCAGTGGAGTTCAGCTTTTGCAGCTGGGACACCACGTTTCACATGCTCACTCTTCTGACACCCAGTGCAAACCAGCACTGCCAATGGCTTGCAGCTGCAGCTACTGAGGGGATCTGCAACCACGACCTTTCCTGGCCTTCAATACCAGGTCAGGGCTTTAGAACTTGGGCGTGGAAAGTGCTGACCATCTCTTCCTGCCCCAAATCACTCTCCTCTATGGCTAATGTTTTTACAAAAGAGACATGTGAATGCAATATTAGTCCAGAGAGTAAATTCTTCCTTGTTGTAGACACTTTGCACACATCTGTACATTAGAATTCAGTTTGTCTTTGCTCAGTGTATCCAAATTTATACCAGGTGATACTGTAAATGCAAGAACAAAACTGATGTTCTTTGTTGGACCTTGAGTTTACTTACACCCTTGACTTTATATGGCTAATCTTATCAACTTTTCAATAAACCCTACTTTCAGTTACTGAAAAATACAACAAAATAGTTTTAAAATACTGTTCCTTTCATCAGTTTTCAATTAAACTGCATCTTTCAGAAACTTTCCTTACTTATTTTCTAGTGCAAAGCATATGGGACTCAATGAATTCTGACATTAAAACATCACTAATGATAGAGCAAGCCTGTACAGCTAGAAACTTTTGCCAAAGGCTTTGGGAATTAAAAAAGAAATTGTGCAACCCAGATCAGGGTAGCTTTATATGTTTAAAGAGAAAGTAAATATTATACTCTTTACCATCCTAGTCTTCACTTAAACACAATGCTCAGGATTACATTGCTTTAATAATTTATACAAGGTTTAATAATTTGTCACAGAAGGATATTTTGAGTGGTTTTAAGAAGCATTTTTCTCTTCTAATTGTATGTTGCTCCTTAAAACTAAGCAGCAATTGCAAATTATGGGAGTTAGAGCAGTAAAAGCCTCTATTTTGTGAAATTCACAGATTTCACAAAATATTCAGAGTTGATGATCCTTGTGGGTCCCTTCCAGGTCTAAATCTTAAGTGAATGGCCCATACAGGGATCAAACCTACAGTGCTGGTACCTTAGCACCATGCTCTGACCAGCTAAGCTAATCTCAAGGTCTTGATCAAAAGAAAGAAATTTTTGTTCCTCTGCCTTCAGTGTGACAATCAGGAGTAACATCAACACTGTTGGCCTTTGATACCCTGTAGCAGTGGTTTTAGGCTGTGGTTCATGTGTTTTTTTCTAAAGGATCTGTGAATGATAATTGAAAGAAAAAATGAATTTATGGTCAAGTTAAATTCACTGGAGATCTTCAGTGCTGGATACTCTTGTAAAGGTAAGAAACAAGAAACACTAGAATATGACTGACAGAGGACAGCTGCTTCAGGGCTCCATTTTCACTCCTCCCCACACTAGAAAGATGTCCAAGGCCTGATAATTTCAAACTGTAGTGTGTATCATTCCTGGTGGAACTCTTCCCAGTTTAGTCAAGAACACAGGCAGGAGCAGGGCTTTTACACACTCCATTTTCTCCCCTAAAAGAGAATCTGAACAACCAGTATCTTTACCCTAAGAGGGAAGAGAGGGGTGGGTCATGGATAACTTTTGATTTTATGTATCATCACCATAACCAGCCATTCCTAGAGTAAAAATGACATGGGCTGCTCAGCAAAGATGCTCTTTACCTTACACTCATTAAGCCAAAATCATTTAAGCTCTTTTCCAGTAAAAGAAATATTAAATAATCCATAAAGCCTATGGAAAAGGCATGAAACTTCTGTAACTTTGAAACTTCTGTATTTCTTATTTTAAATGTAAGAGAGATAAATACACTCAGACTTACATATATCTTACATATTCTACAGCACAGGTGCTTTAGGTAATTTTTAATATAACTGTTCTCCTGTATCACCACACAGCTACATGCTACTGTGATGCCTTTCTAGAGTTTGCCCAGAAGATAATTTCTACAATCACTATGGATCCAACACAAGACTAAAAGCCAGTGAACACTGAGTATCATCTTTATAGGAGGAAGGCTAAGTATGCTGCTGCTCTGCTCTCACTGCTCATCTGCTGGCTCCTGGCTCTTGATACCAGTCTGGTCTGTTTCCTCCAATTCACGTCATACATTTCGCAGGAGAATAGAAAAGCTTTAAATATTACATTCTTCACTGAAAACAATAGTTACTCAAGAAGGAAAGTGAAACTAAATGGAAAAGTTACTTTAAAATTATAACAATTATATATATAGTTATATATCATAGTTGAGAAGATAATTAAGTACAAAAATTAAAGTTCTGAGTTTGGTTTTTGGTGACAAAATGGAGAGGAAGTCATAGCCCATGAAACACAACCAACTAATACAATAACTTAACATTAAAAAAGGACAAAGCCCAACAACAAATGGTGAAACCAACACATCACTTCTAGGAGTTTCAGGGTTATACCAATTTGCAGTGCATTTCAAACTGCTCTCTGAGCTAACCCTTCTTCTTTACTGAAGATAAACAAAGACACACTAAATACTGAATATATTTAATAAAGTTAAATAAAGCCTTAATAGCCAGTTATATCTGGGTTTAGCTTGCTTAGCATCATCAGTGCCCAGTCACTCAGCTAACTCTGGAGCTGACACTTTTGACACCTGTTAATCCCTGGCCTTCCCAGATTCTCAGAGGTTTTATTCATTGTGTCTTCTCATGCTTCAGAGGAGGTTTCATTTATGCTTTCTGTAACTGTTTAACCCATTCTTCCATTTAAGCCCAAACTTAGTTAAAATAACAAAGCTGCATTATGAAAGCATGTTTTTGTTGAACAAATGTTCTTCCTCCCACACCTATTTCACTACAGGCCCACCTCTCCTACCCTCCTCATCCTGATAACAGTGTTTCTAGAGCCAGCTCTCTTTGCTGATTTTAGCCAAGTTTCTAGGACACAATGTTTTAATTTAAACATAGATCCAGTTTTATGATTTTGTTTTGCATGTGTTTGAAGTTGATTCTTTATAATCCCAATGGTCACTAATCTATTTCAAAACAGTTTCCTAATCTTTGCTTGTTCAAGAGCTTTTCTATTAGCATCCAGTTTTCTCTCTGCAGGCAGTCCAAAATCACAGCTGCCTCATGACTCCACCCCACTTTCCTGGCAGACTGCAGTGAACTGTTATGCATAAACTGAATTCTCATTTAAGGCTGCATTATTGGACAGGTGCTTGCTATGTAGTATGGAACTCTGGGAAGAATTTGATCTCCATAAAAGCCTTTACAAGGAGCAATGAAACTTCCCAGCACCAGCACAGAAACATAGAGCTGAGGCTGTGCCCTACACAACAAAAGTGAGGGCCTTTAAAAACCAAGGTTCTCACCACTCCATTATGCACCTGATTATTTGATTCATTTTCAGTATCATGGAAGATGAGTCCAATCTCACTTAACTGACTTTCAAACATTTGGAGGTATCTATTTCGGAGTGCCTGAGCTAGACACCCTTTGTAACTGCAAGGACAGCCTCTGGAGGTGTGTTTTTCTTTACTTGCTCTAGACAGAGCCTGAACAACTGCTTTGCAAAGGAAGCATTAGAAGTTCAAGCCTATGAAGTGGATTGCATCTTGAGACCCCTGTGTAGTTTCCACATTCAATGGACAATTCTCTGCAAATTCCTTGTCCCTAATTAATCACATTTTTATGCTAAATGTTTTTTTCAGACTGAAAAAATCATTCCTACAATTCCACACAGCAACTTTTTATTCTGACCTAGTTGAACCTCATCATGTAAGGGTGCAAATCCAGCTTCAGCAAAGACCCACTGGAGACAGAGGATGATTAGCAATGACGTGCTTGATGGCTCATTCATTGAGAACAGGAGAATGCAAGTGGAAATAAAAATTAACAAACTAAAAAGCACTAATGGCAGCTTCTGTTACAGTTCCTTAGTGTCATTACTGTCTGTTTACATAGTCTGTAACATTTTTACTAAATGTAACAAGGAAAAATTATTTTAAGTAACAAATGCAACAAGGTGCTTAAATTTACCAAAGCTTTGTAACAAAGTTTTAACTAAATAACAATATCAGCAATTAATCCCTGTGGAAAGGGTCTGTGAAAGCAAGGTTAGGGAAGTCAAAATACTGCATTAGATTAGTTTTGCTGAAGGGAGTGGTTTCCTCTGCTCTGAAGCATTTTCCATCCTTACAGCAGCACAGACTGCCTCAAACTGGAGCAATCTTTCAGGGATGAGGCATGTTTGGAGTTTTACTAAACAAGCCACATTCTTGTCTGCCTGCCGAGGGCTACTTTCCTCCTCCTCTGTGACAGGGCCTGGTTGCGCAGAACATTTCACCAGTGGGATAAAGGCAGCTTCAGCAACCACATCAACACTGTAATTTTTAAAATTCCCACTTGGGTATCTCAATAAAATGCCTACTGAAAGCTGCCTGGAATGTCAGGCATGTGTTCTTTCCTTCTTTATTGTCCTCTTTACTTTCTATTTTACTCAGCATTGAATTTCCTCTCCTCATTTTTCAGTATTCATGGAATATACATTTTGTCTCTTAGAAACAATGCTGACAAAGCAGACAAACAGATGAGGAACTCGGTGTGACAAGAAAATTGTACTAAGCCTTCTCTGAATTCTGCCTTGCACAATATTTCTAGAAGCAGCATTCTATGCTGACCTCCCTCCATTTTCCTGAAGGACTTTAAAACCTGACTTGAGAGTTGCAGCTCCCCAGTGAACGATCATGCCAGGCACTGCTGCAGATTCCATTTTTCTTCTAAGCAATTTTTTCTTTGAAAATGCTTCCAAAAAATCATCAACAGATTACAAAACCAGCCCATTTTTGCCTCTGAAAAAAGCCCTGTCCATGGAAAAGCAGCCAAATTCTGTTCTGATAGATATTTGTTTCCTCACTTCAACTGGGATTACGTGTAAATTTGTACGTAGCTGGCAACTTAGCTGCTTGTTTCTCTGCTAGGAGAGAATGCTACTAGATTCTTAGAAAAGGTTTACAACAGAAAAGTGATATACTGTGTTCCAAGCAAGCACTACAGCCATCCAAAAAGACATAGTTTAATTTTAATAAGCTTGCCTCTAAATGAGAAGCCAGATACAACAATCAGTGTAACAGGCTTCCACCATGTAAGCACTAACCCATTCATACATCTTGTAAGAAATATATGCAACATACCAGAAACTCCTGCTGGTGTCTTTATGAATTTTCCATTAAAATGAGCAATCACTGCTTCACATTTTTCTGTTGACTCCATCCTTTGAAAATAAAGAATAATTTACATAAATTAAACACTCAACCAGATTCCCATGTTTGTGATTTTTTTTTTAAGCATATTTCTTGCTTTTTCTCAAATCAAATTTCTTGCTTTTCCCCTCTTCACTGCTCTGGCTTGCTTTCCCATGTGTGAACAATGGAGAAGAAGTTTTCTAAGAACATATAATTTCAGAAGGTAAAGCCAAACTCAATTAACATTTTATGCACTCTGAGACCAAAGTCAGTGCCAAACTGAAAATAATACTCTTATTTACTCAGAAATTATATTGTCAGTGTCCAAGCTGCCTCAAGTACCTCTCTTGTCTTGAAAGAAGCAGAAGGACTGACTCACTATCATTCATAACTGAATCCTTAGTGCCCATGCTGCATGCAGCAAAGGTTAATGCCACTCTTAAGAGAGGGTTCAGAGCTGTCTGTACAGTTTAAGGGTAATAAACTCAAATATAAACCTGCCTGACTGCATGACCCAAACTGACTTGGCAGCTTTTAGCTTACATACATCATCTCCACTAAATGATGCACCTGGCTCTTATTTAATTGTTCCAAACAGGAGGCAATACCAGCATAGCTGTGATGGCTACTGAGAATGTATCCAAAATCTTGAGCAGTTTGTGCACTTTTGCTGTCAGATCTAGACTCAGCAGGCTGGGCAGAGGGAGGAGAGCTCCTGCTGGCCTGAGAAGGGCTCACCTGCAGCGAGGATGTGCCAGCCCCGACTGTCACCTTGGACTCAGTCACACTGAACGACTCAGATGTGCAATTACAACAAAATATATTTTAAAATAACTGATTTTGCAGCTGCCTGCAAGATGATGTTTGATTAATGTCAAACAGATAATTTCTTTTTATTTGCTCATTAATTTCTGTAATTCATATCCACAAATTAGGCCAATGGCCTCAGCAGCAAACAACCAGGACTAAAAATCCCTAAGTCTTGGCACCTTTTTAATTCTGACATCCTTTCTGCACAGGCTGACAAAATACAAGCATAGATAACAACCAATATCACCAAAAAGCCAGACTGAACAAGAGGTTTTTCCTAATGATTCTAAAAATATCTCCTAGAGAATTTTCTGAAGTTCTGGATTATTGGATCTGCATCAAAGAAATCTAATTTTTTTTTGTCTCACATGAAACAAACAATATAATTTAGTTTCAGACTCAAGTCTGGACTTGATAAAATACATTACTCCCAATTAACCTAATAAAAGTTTCCCAAAGGCAAGAAATTAAAATATTTATTTAATGTCTACAGGTTCTTGGAAAATTTTAACTTTCAGTAATTATCCAAGAATTTTCCAATACAAGAAATATGTTCCCCTTGTAGAAGGAAAGAAGTTCTAATTGGATAGAGATGTAATACTTATCCTAGAACTTATGTATCCTATATTTATGTATATAAATAAACACATAAAAAAATAACTTCACTTATGTATATATAATGGAGAAACTATTGAGAAAGTACTTTAAAACTATTCTATTTTAATTTCTTCAATACAAGTGAGATTTTGGATACACACAAGTCACATGTCATTTTAACTTTTGCATATGATTTCAGAACACTTCCAGTTACATTAGAAAAAATATATCCTACCATATTTCCTACCATACCACTGATTCAAGGTAGAGGTGATAAACAAGTTTAGGAAGAAGAGACTGAATGAATTCAAAATGGCAACTGAATTTTATAGTGGGTGTTAGTGGATTTTACCCTTCACAGTACCAAAAAGTGAAAGCTACATATAAAACACACATATATATTAATTAAATTAAAATGCCCAGTTAATTTTGTCCCAAAAATATTACAAACACTTGTTTATTTTTTTAAAGGGGGCAAGAAGAAATTTTAGCAAAGCCCAAATTTGCTGGTTTTCCCCTTTTAAATAATGAATAGTGTTCTATTATTTCTAATTTTGTTCCTTTGTTATACCTTCTTGAAACTTGATAGTTTGACAAGCATATGAAGTGTGGGGGTCAGGAGGCCGGTGGGAGGAGAGATTAAAAAAAAAAGAAAAATAAAAATCACAGTGCTATGAACTATCTCCCAGCCAACTCATAGGAAAAACAACCCCTAAAAATTTTGGCCACATCAGGGGATAAATTTGTTCAGTTCTTTTCTGTGCACTAATTTTAGATTCTGATATTTGTTCAAATACAGAGCTATTGTAATATTGGCTGAACATATGAATTACTAAAATTTGATTTCACAGAGATTTTATAACATATTTTGAGAATCCCAATTCTTTGCTTGAAGCATGTTTTTATTTCTGATAAAAGAAACCTTCAATTTAAAGCCTCAAAATTTTGATTGTTATACTAGGTTTAAAGCAGGACTTACATAAATAAAAGCATCACAGAAAAGACTGTGATTAATAGAAAAAATAACTAAATTAACTAGAGAAAAAGTAGACTCATATGGACAGAATATTTAAGACGTATTTACTAATTTATGGAAAATATTTGTTCCTGTTGATTTGGGTGAGATATTTGACTTAGCACACAAATATTTTAAGATGAGATTTACTCTAAGTGAATAAAAATATTTTCTTTCCCAGCTGACATCATGTTAATGAGCCTGAAAATTCAAAGGGCTGATGTTCAAAGGGCAATGATGAGTTCATTTTCTCCAAGGAACTAATGAAGAAAAACAAAAAAAAAGGTGTGGGGGTGGGGAAGAATTGGTTCTTCCTTCTGGTCTGCTGCTTGGGATTCAAAATTCACAAGCCAGAAGTCAGGAGAAGTCTCTGCAAAGCATCATGTAACCCTTGCTTACTGGCTCAGAGATAGAGGAGGAAGGAGAAGTACAGAAAAGAGAAGGAAGTGGTTTAGAGTGAATTCTTACTCTAGATAATTGTCCAGTAAGAGCAACAAATTTAGATTTAGCTATCTAAGCAAGAAGAGACACAGCTCTACCAAAGGAAGAATTAACAAAACCCTGCTGGATAACCCCATTTCAATCTTCCTTCTCTTTACCAACTTTATAATTTTCAGGAATTTCTACCTTTTCCACCTATTCTTTCTCGCCTTTTTAATCAAAACAAGGAAAAAGGCTGCCAGCATGGCTAAGAGCACCGAGGTACCTCGCGAAGCCAACGCCACGGCTTGTCCCACTCGAGTCCCGCAGTATCCTGGTGGAGATAACCTGCCCAAAGGGCTTCAGCATGTTCTCGAGCTCCTGCTCATCCATTGACAGAGGCAGATTGGAAATGTACAAGTTAGTCGGGTCTTGTTCTTGTTGCTGAAAGAGAATTAAAATCAATTGTTATTGTTGTTGCCACTGTCATTTTGAATTTAAAAACAACAATTGCATATGACTTCTGGTGCAGATTTTTACTTATCAGGCCCTTTGTAAAGGCTGTTCTTTCCTAGTATTTGTGACCTCCATCTTCTGCCACTGCCTGTAGCATTCCTGAGAAAGTTCCCTTTCTCCTATTACTGCTGACACTGACATTTTTAAGTAGAGATAAAGGTGAATAATTAACCAGTTTATAGTCCATGTTAAAACTCTATGTTTCAAATTTTTCTGAAAGGAAAAAAAAAGTAAAAATTAGGTAAAGGAAAGAAATTAGCAGACAAGAATTGCAAGAGTGGTGGAAAGCATTAAGAAAGCCTGATGTAGATTAAGAAGAGAAAAGATTGGGATGACAAGCAGAAAATCATATGAGGAAAAAATGAGAAAATGGATTTAAGAGTATGTATATTGCCATAATGATACCAAAATAGAGTGATATAGAACCAAGTGGGACACTGTCCTTGCCTTCCACACATGAGCATTTTTGACTTTTCACCAAACTTTTACATTATACATTCAGACAATACAAAAGTCTTCCAAAAACTTCCTCTAGAAACAGACAAAATAAGAGGAGGGGCAACCAGGAGATGGGCAATTAGGGAGGAGACAAATGCAGCCACGCCACATCTTTGCCATTCCCCTGATCTTAGACTACTCACTACTTTGTGTTATCTATGTATGTGCCATGAAATGACACCTCAAAGAAACCTTTTTGTTGAAATTGATGATTTCCAGTGATTGTCTACAGATTTCCCAGCTGTGGCAAGGGAGCATCTCTTTCATGCTGGTGATCACTGCCCATGCTCTGAACTGAAGCACGCTCTTGATCTACACAGATGGATATGACATAGTCCTTAAAGTTGTGCAGAACTTCGATGTTACCCTGGTACAAATTTAAGTCATTGCATGATGCCTACATTCAGTAGAACCTTTCTGGCATAAGCAGTGATATGATCTGAAATCAATTTTATTTATATACATACACAATTTTCATAGAACCACAGAATGGGTAAGGTTGGAAAGGACCATGCACAGGATTGTGTTCAGACAGTTCTTGGATATCTCCAGTGAGGGACCCTCCACAGTTTCTCTGTGCAATCTATTCCAGTGCTCAGGCACTACAATAAAAAAGCTCATCCTCATTTGCAGGTGGAACTCACTGTGCATCAGTTTCTGCCCATTGTCCCAACATATTTATTGGTCCCAACATATTTGAAGGCATAGTCCACAATGTATTTTCCTTCTGTACAAGAGGGCTGACTGGCTTGCAGGGTAGATTGAATCAAACCAGACAACAAAAACAAAACTATACAAAAACTCAACACTTGCCTCTTGCCATTGAAGCATTTCTTATAGTGATTATATTGGATGGATGGAGATATCCTCTCATGCAAAATAGGCATCAGTTTGTCCTTAAGCTCCCTTTATCTTAATAATATCTCAGTACTTTTAGTAGCATATTGCATAATTTTTTTAACTCACCATCCTGGATATCACCTCTCGGTTTGGGTTAGTTTTTCTAGGAGAAGGCAAAAAAAAAAAAAAACAAACAACCCAAAACAAACAAACAAAAAAAAAACTAATGAAAATTAAAAATGGAGAAGCAAATTCTAGGCTGAAATATCTTTACTTATTTGCATTTTTACCCCAAGCCTCACATTCAGTTCCAAAAAGTTAATGTTCTGAAGTTTTCCAAAAAGGTTTTTAAAGAAATTGGAATAAAAGACCTATAGGAGGGAAATGTTCTTCTATTTCATCCTCCTGATGTGCATGCCTCTGCCACTGGTATGACTGTAATTCCTAGCCACACCAAAATCCTACATACCTTACAAAGCAATCTTTTCCAGCTCCCAGGTGTTACCCCCTCATTGGCCCCTTTATGGTCCATTACAAATGGCATTTGATTACCCTGTATTTTTCTTTTGTTACCTAGTAGAGAAATCTCCCTTCCAAAATAACACTGAATCTATACAGTGCACAGACAAGTTTGGGGTTCAAATTATCTTAACATAGGATGTCTAAATTCTTTTTCATATTAGAAAACTCAACAGAAGGAGAAGACAAGAAAATGGATTCACTGTGAGGCCATAGCTGCCATTAATATTAATTACTGGGCAGCATTACAGTAGTTACATCTTCACATTCAGCTCAAATTTCCTCAGGCAGGAATGTGAGATGAACAGCTTTCACAGGGTTAGAACTGGTTTGTTACTTAGATAGCATTAGGCAATTTTGTTTTGCACCTTGAGATGTGCAGGCTTAACTTCCTTCTTTAATGAGCTATATTAGCAAAAGCTTTAAAGAAGGTTTCAGGCATTGGCATTACAAAATTGCACTTGTAGCCATAGCAAGATTTTCTGAAATTCCAAATAGTATTTGAAAGGAATAGTTTTGAATTTTTTACTCTTTATTATAGGCTGTAAAATATATTGCAGGCAAAAATTCTAAAACTCCCCTAAATAATCTAAAACAGTATATCAGCTAGAAAGTCAGACTCTTTGCATATTTTTATTTAATTTCCTAGTGTTTTTTATTCTGGAATAACAGAAAGTAAAAAAGTATTCTCATTAAAGTCTAACATTTGAAAAAATAAAAAAGGCCCCATTTTGTTCACAGTAGGAACAGTGTAATTTGCATGCAAAAACCAAAAAACAAAAGAACAAAAACCAACCAACCAACCAAAAGACTACATTCTGAATCACCCAACAGAGAAAGAAATTCAGACAAGTGCAGAAACTCAGAGAAACCTGTTCAGGTAAGTGGGCAGAGCTCACTCCCTTTCTTTCGGGCTCCTGTCGCAGCCCAGGGCTCACCAGACTCCCCCATTATCCTGTCACTGTATTCAGGATGAGACCATGAACTTTCCCTGCCAAAGGGGCACAAAGATCTGCTGCCATTCACTGCACATGCTGGGCACTAGATGCTTGTACTTATCCACCTACCAGAGAAAACTTCCTGCTATAGGATCATGTAACACTGCTGCTAGGGAAGGCAGTGCTGCACTTTGGAAGGAGATTAGCAACTTCTCCACTAACCCACATTACAAAGCTCTTGGGAAAAAAGAGAAAAAGAAGTGCATCTGAGGAAATTGTTCTAAGGAAATTGTTTTCTTTGAACAGAAAGCATTTTGTGATGGAAAAATTTTACTTGTGGCCCATGAAACAATCTGGATTTTGCATTATTAATTATTAGGTTTTGGTGAGGTACATGCTGAATGACAGACTGGAAACGACTTCTGTTTTCCTGACCCCATCTCCACATCAGTCTAGTTCAGCCTGAATACTCCCAGTGATTCAGTTACTTCTGATTTGATTCTTTGATGGAACACACAGATCACAGCAAACAAAGAGAAGTTTGAAGACACTTCTACACATGTCCATACCTAGAACCAGTGAAGATGGAAGGCAAATGAGGGAAACAAAAAGCAAAGAAGCTGCCAGCAGATGAGGATGTCTTGCAAAAATCCTGGAATACAACTTGAAATTTCTTCCATCTGTAATTCTTCCAGCAAAATAGTTGAAATGCCAACAAACACATTCCACAGTGCATTAAGGTGGTATCTGCACTGCAGGTGCAAACCCACGGCCACCCTGGGGAACAGCAGCAGTTCAGCTATAAAGATAAATCACAGAACCAGAGAATATCTCCAGTTGGAAGGACCCATAAAGATCACCAAGTCCAACTAGGTCAGGACAGATTAATTTAATCCACTTCTTCACTTTTCAAGAAAAGAAAGAGACTGCCACTGGTTCACAAAAGGGCTCACTTACAATACTCATTTGCAACCCCTACTACTGTTGGCATAGATGCAAAACAAGACTGAACTTCTTCTAGAGTGTATTTGGAATTTTATACAGTTTGACAGTGGAAGACATACCAATTAATGTGCAAAACACTTCCTCTCTTCCTGTGAATAACTTATTTCACTAATACAGCTTCTGTCATGTCCAGAAGGCTATTAAACTTAGAAACAGATATTTGGGTACATTTTGGGAGATTGCAAGCAGCAAGTTAGCTCCTTCGCCTTGGAACACATTGGGTTTCCAAGCTGACTTCCAAATAGCAGCCACAACTAGGATTTGCCTTCCATCTCTGTGTTGTCTTACACAGAAGGTGCTGTACAAACAATGTTTGCCTTTATACAAGATTTTGTCATGGCAAATGGTTACAGGTTAACAGTTAAAACTCAAAGTTATGAGAAAGACAAACAATTTAAGTCGTCCCTCTATCTCTCTGGCAAGCAGGAGTTTAATACTTTAAGTTTTGTGAATTTTTTCATTACCCAAACTTGTCTCACCATTGCTTAATTCACAGTGTTATTACTATTCTATGTTAAAAGAGAAAAATAATTCCTTTGATACCTGAATTTTTAATTCCCCTTCTGGAATTAAGGGGAAAAAAAAAGTTAAACCAATAAAAATACCTTCCAGCATAACTCAGCTCAAACCCTGCCTATACACTGTAATTATTCTTAGGATTTAAAGTAGGTGTTCCTCTGCTTAAAATCCATTGAATTGTATAAGCCACTTTCCCCTTATATACCTTAAATCTCTTGAAATTATTTGCATTATTTTATGGAAATGATCAAAAATATTTACTAAAGTCAGTGCCTAATTTTGGGCAGCAAGCCTCCATTAACATATAATCTACTGAGTATTTTGTTTTCATTCTATACAGTTTAGGAAAACTGCTTAATTTGAGTGTCTTCATAGCTCATGCAGGGTTTTCCTTAGTTAACAGAACCTTCAGCAGATCCTGAAAGATGCTGAAATTGCTCAGCATTTTCAGATTATGGGCAACGTCAGGGAATCTGTGGGCTACTGTAAGTATCCGTATTATTGAGGAAACTAGCAAGTCTTGTTTTTAGCAATGTAAGTCATCAAGTTTCTATCAGTCTTTTCTCTCCAAACACCTTCAGCTGTGTCTCCAGAAGTTCTCTACCAGAA